GGGGGGGGGGGGGGGGTCAACCGTTTGGATTCGCTCCGCGCGCGCGAACGACAATAACAATATATCATATAATAATAATAATAATAATAGTAATATTATAAAAATACGTCCGCCGCTGACGTCCTTGAACGTGGCGTGCGCGACACGCGTACGTCGTGCTTCCGGACGCGGCACCGCACGCGGGCTCGCGCATCGCTCCCTCAGACTGCATAATATACGTATATACTATATATGAGCGCGGTATATCGTGCGATGCGGTTATTATACCGTCATCAATATGGTCTAATGATGACGCGCTTCGGCGTTCCGGCTTAACAATAATCATAACGTATTCGTCGCACACACGCCGGGCGGCGACACACATCATGTAGCGAGTCTTTGTCGGACTCGTCGATCGTTGAAAACAGAACTAAACACGAAAACGCGAGGACACCGCGACTCGCGAGCCATAGCATCGCGATGATATTCCATCACACATTTAAGTACGTAAATTATAATATCCGAATCGAGGTGAAAAAAAATTCCGCTGTGAAATTGTCCAAAGTCAAACACGTCCACGGTATGGTGGTAAAATTATCCCACCCAATCTTTGTGTTTGCAGCATTATAGACTAACATTATATTAGGTTATAGTTTACAGTCGCAAAGTTGTTTAAGATCAAAAATAGGGAAATATATACTGATGAGAATATATGACATTTTACACGCACAAATAAATATAAATAATAACAAAGCATTATTTATTAACACCACCAATTTAAATTTTAAAATATAAAATAAAATAATTATTACTATTATTAATAATAATTGCCTTTACTTCTTCATTATTACCTACATTTAAAATAAAATTTCAGGTTTTAAAAACATCGATAATTAACACATATATTACATCTTTCATTCAATGTTTATGTTCTACACATATTTTAAATTCTGAACGGAACGATAAATATGTATTGATTTTATTTTAGAATGATGTGTGTGCGGTTTAATTTGTGTGACACATTTATCGTTGAAAAAAAAACTTCGATTTTCAACCTCATTATATTTGTTGGTAGGAAAGTGAATGTAATTGGTACTTTGTAAAAACGATGAATGTTTATCAAAATGGTTACCTACTGGCTACTTCTCCCTTTTATTAATTTTTCTTGCAAATTAACATAGATTTTTTTTCAGTGGAGGTTGTTTGGTACCTACAAGTGTTTTACAGTGCACTTGACAAGATAAACTTATGTTAGTGCCCCTCTTTTATTCCATTCCAATACCCATTTAACATTTTTTTTTTTGATACTCTATTTTTGACAGTTTCCCTTGGACATTCTGGATTTCCGGCAATTTTTTAAATGGACTTTTTTCGAGAGAACATTTTGCTCGACTATCGCGATATCCAAGTGGGTTATGGGTAAAACTCTCGCGACCACTTTAATAGTACGTGATGCGACGTAATATACTGTTCGTATTTCCACTCGTCAATATTATATATTATACAACATATTATTATTACCCAGGGTTATGTTATATTTACGTTCTATTATTTAGCAACCCGATGACTAGGTTTTATTCGCCATACTATTAATATACTTAATATAATCTAATATGGAAGGAACGAGTGAGTGAGAAAGTGAGAAAGTGCATGAACTCTTAACGTGTAAACTATCTGTCTCACGTATTATAATAAAATATATTATTATATTGTTATAACGTGCAGACTTGCACCTTATACCCTCGACCGAACCGAATTTTAAGTTTAATACGACCTTACGGTGCAGCTAAATCTAATCCGACCTATATACATATACATATACATATAACTACATAAGACTAAACTGCAGAGAGCTAAACTCGACCCGAGTCACAACCTTTAATATAGTATATTTAATATTATATATATTATATAGGCGAAGTGTCGGTCACGTTGATATTTTGTAGGTACCTATACTATAACGTATATGATGTATATAGGTGGAAATCGTCGGTCGAGGTTCCGTGACCGTAAAAAAACGACGTATGGCATATAATATCATATCATACGCCGGCTGGCCAAACTCTCCGATTGCAATGTGCAGTAAATAATATATATATACACCAGCAATGATATTATTATATTCAATTATATACGAGCATATTATAGTCGTATTGCGGACGCGACACCCGAAACCTTCTGTAGTCCTGTATAATATATGGTATAGCCATAGGTATATTATGTCTGATCCTGCAAATGACAATATTATATTATATTAAACCCGACACATGTTTAATTTATGGTGTAATTCATAGTTAAACCAAGACACTTTTTGTTACAGAAAACACAGATGATTTTGAAAATATTTATTTTGGGTGGTTACATAATTTTAAGTTAATATTTTGTACTACTTTCATTTTTTTTCAAAATTTTTACTCTTTCGATTGATAGCGTATCTTTCATATCCTGAATATTTCGACCAATAAAAATCAAATTTTGGACAAATAGTCTGATAATTATAAGTATTCAGAGTACCACTTCACTCCGCTCATCGAGCATTTTAAATACTTAGGTAACTCTTGAGCCACTCGTCCACAACTTGATTATTAAATATCAAAGTGATCCAAAAAATATATTCTGCTTCGGAGCTCAATCAATAATGAATCAAAACCGCACGTTGCCATAAAAAAAAAAAATAACAGACTATTAAAAATAGTAAAAAATAAATATTTATTTCTTTAAAAATGTTGTTTTTCGACTGCTTAAAATTGTGTAAGAAAATATTTTCAAATAAAAGTTTTTTTTTCTTTAATAATAAGCATATTACCTACGTTGAATGTATCACCCGGTATGTGTTATTTATACACGATCATACACGATAAGATCCGTCGTAACTCGTATTCGTATTGCATTTGACACGCTCACGTATATTTTATTGTTAAATAAGTGCAATATGTGTAACGCGTGCGCAAAAAAATTCGCGGCGTGCCTGCGGTCACGCGTATCGTCTTACGAGCCCGATTAAAAGCGACAGGGACCGTCATCCGACTGTCGGACCGCATACAAATAAACGTTTATTATTTGTGTTTACAGAGTATTATATAGTATTTGTTCACTTTAATATTATGCGCCTATATACCTGAGCTTGATGTATGTCGAGTGTAAAATGTACGAAAAGACTATAATGATTGATGACTATGGAAATTCAAAACACAAAAGTAATTTTCTCTTGCACCTTTAAAACTATTGATTATAATACCCTGCTGCAAAATTATACATATTATATTTTACACATTGCATATGCATATAATATATATGTTAGGGGTTTTTTATTAGTATTCAAAGGATAAAAATGTAATATTCAGCAAGTCTCAGTTACCTGTTGTATAATTCTCAAGTTTTCCGTGCGTTAGTGTGGAAATTGGCCATATGGAATAATTACGTTGTGATCACAAATATTTAAAAAAAAAACAAAATTATGGGTTATACATTTTAAAAACGTAAGGAGGGTACAGGTTTAACAATGCTTATGTTATGGGAGTCTCGCCAATCGTTCTCGAAATAAACAAACATTAAATTGTATTTTAAAATGTATATCTATGTATAACTATTTTTGAAAAAAAATCCAATTAAACTAGTTATAGATACGTTTGAATATGTCATACTCAAAATATTTATTACCTAACACTTTTTATTTTATTTTTCCTCAAAATGATTTGAACACTGGATGTTGTCTATCTTTTCATGTTCCAGTAATCAGTTTACACTTGCAAGAATTAACATGCAATACATTTTTGTATTTGAAAAACTATTAAATATTATTTATTACCTTAACTTATATTTTAATTTTTAATGTAGTATGTCAAATATGTGTATTATCTATACTCTACGTATAGAGTTAACCTAAGAAAGTAAATAATTATTATAACCAAAGTTTTTTTTTTCAAAAACAAAAAAAAAGAAACTATAAGACATACATTTTGGAACCAAACGAAGTTATAGGCTTATACATCGCTGTCTGTTATACAATCTCAGAGTAAACAAACATTAATTTTGCTGTGAGCTTCGGTGAAAAGTTCTATAACGTTGCAGTATAAATATTGTTATCTCCATTATTTTAGTTACACCATTATGCGATGTGTGGTGTCGTGATGGCATCGTAGAAGCATAGTAAAATATATAATATTATAAACATTATTTTATGGGCAACACTTCATAGCTAGTGAACTTTGCTTATGGATATGAATATACGTCATAAATAATAGGTGGATATATTTTTGTTTTAAATACAAACATTATCAAATAAATAAGTGATTTAATATATTTATGTTATTAGTTATATACCTAACATAATATTATTTATACTCAACACTCGGGTATGTATACATTAAGAAAAATTATAATAATCATAAGATAATGATCAGCAACAATTTATATTGTAGGTACAAATTTATACAACAATAGCTATACAGTTATGCTACATATTAATTATACATTATGTTAACTCAAAGAGGTAATTTAAATAAATGAAAAAAGACATGCAATTAAAAATAAAATTATTTTTTTAGTACAATAAATCAAAGAATATATTATCTAATTTGGCGCAAAAACAATTGAAAAAACGATAAAATAAATATATTTATATACTTTGTATATTATATTATAATTCATAAACATTAAATCATTACATTTTAAATTTATTCCAAAATAATTTTTAAAATAATGAAACTTATTATAAAAGCTATTAACACAGTAACGACAAAGAAAAAAAATTAACTATTAAACATTTCACTATAATCATAATATAGTAGATACTGACACACTGAATAATATATAGACAACCTTTTTCATCTACACT